GGATGGGAAGCTAATAATAATGAGTATAAGAAAGAATAGAATGTTCTAAAATTGATTGTGGTGATGATTGCACAACTCCTTGTAATGTGTTTAAATCATTGTATGATGTGTCAATTACATATCAATAAAACTGTTAAAATTTAAAAAAAATCATATTACTGTTGGTATTATATAACTGCCTGATAGTAATTCTATTAATTGGAGCTTCTCTGATTTCACTTTGAACTTGTGGGGAAAGTATGGATAACAAAACTTAAACCCTCTCAACAATTTCGATATATACAATTTAGTGACATGTCTCACATTCTCCAAGTTATGCAATAATTCTTGCTATCCTATTCCAGATCATCCCACCAGAAACTCAATGTCCTCACACAAAAACTCTCCTTTCCCCTTCTTTCCAAACCTGCATCCATTAATAATCTCTGTTTCTATATTCTTGCCTATTTCATAAGTGAGGTCATAAAATCTGCCATTTTACGATTGAATTATTTCATTTAACAAGGTTCATTCATATGTGGCGTGCAATAGGACTTCGTTTCTCTTTATGGTTGCATAGTATTCCAATGTATATTTATATTTACACCATTTATATTTACAATGTATATTTACACCATGTTTTGTTATATCTGCATTATGTATAAATATATACATGTACACATAAATATTCACAGAGAGAGAGACATAAAACCTTTATTTGATACATGTTTCCCATTCTATTAGCCGAGCACAAAAGGTCAAGTAGATGAGTCCACTGAGATAGGTTCACACAGCAGAAAGGGCACAAGGGAAAATACACACAATACACAATTCCTGAGCTGAGGAGCAGATCTGGCTTGAGCTACACTAAACCCAATGATCCATATGTCATCAGAAACAGATGCAGATAGCACCTGTGCTAAAAGGCACCTCGCCCCACACACCCTCTCATATGCCTTTATGGCCCACAGAGGGGTGGGGGAAGAAAAATGACAGCAATGGGGGTAGGAGGTAGTTAGGGACTAACCAACCCAAGGGAGACTTTTTTCCCCCATGTATGTATCTCCACAGGAAAGGGAGAGTGAGCGTAGACCTCATATTGGGTGTCAGTTCTTGAGGAACAGCTCGTTCCCAGAGATGACTTCAGGGCCAGCCTCAGTTCAAGATGTGAAGTCCTGTCCCTAGATGGCAGCCCTGCAAGAGGACAGCCCTGAAGAAAGTGGTCAGTCTGACTTGCCCACATGAGGCAAATCAAGAGGGGAGCGCAACAGATCAGTGATGGAAGCAAAGCCACAAAGTCCCCGAAGATTCCCGATCATAAATAACCACTATGCAACCAGGGCACCTGAACCCAGACTCATTGCCATCAATAGGGCAGGGTAGAACTGCCCCTGTGGGTTTCCTAGGCTGTAAATATTTATGGAGGCAGAAAGCCTCACTCCCCTGCCCCGCG